AGACGTTAATTTTTCCCACACACGAGATTACTGTGTGATGGATGTCCTCTCCTGGGGTGGGATGGGTGGGAAGATAGCAGGTCCACATCAGCAAATAGCTGCCATAATTCAACCTGCTCAAACAAATAAAGGAGAGGATGATGTGATGAGATGATTACAATAAGTAGGAAGAACATCACACAAGGAATATTATTTTACTTAACACAAAATCTGTAAGCTGGGACTAAACCACATTGAGATCTTTGGTGTGCACTGTTTTGAACTTTCCATTATTCTAAAGCCTTAAGGGTAAAGGGGTGAAAAATATCTTTTTAGTTAGAATGTTTAGTAAGTTATTTGGTATCCTTTATGAGAAAGGCCTAAGGTATTTGAAACGAAGTAAATTTAATTCTAGATAGAATGGCATCATTGAATAAAATCTTACATTTTGCAGGGCTCGACACTAACTTTTTAACTTACTAGCCCAGTGGCTAGTGACATCTTAGATGGTACGACAATTTCAGTTTGTTTACTAGCCAAACTGGCTGGTGGGAATGGAAAACCACTGGCCAAAACTGAATTTCTACTAGCCTGTGGCTGGTGGGCTGCTGTTAGTATCGAGCCCTGCATTCTGATTGATTAATGACACAAGGTATTTAGTGTGGAATATTGCAAGTTGAAAACAAGGCGAAGTGATATTGTTTCACATCTACATATATATAACAACCATAAGTAATGCTGTTTTCTTTTTTTCCCATTTTTATTCAATAATGTGATTCAAGGAAAATTCACTACTTGACTCGTGAATTCCTTGTTAAATTGCACTTGAAAAGCAATATCACAAGCATTGCTTTGCAACATGTACGATTTCGGAATTCACATGTCGTAATGAATTTTCCTATAGAATATTTCAGTCTTATGAAAAAGTAATTTAACAAGAGGCCTTCATGTGCACAGCCCAATTGATCAAAGGGTGAATGTTGCTATCCACTCGACAGAGATTTATCCAGCAGATAGCATTATCTACCCTTTGCACAACCTGGATAAGGTCATCTTTTAAAGAGTGAGCTGGTCATTTCTTAACAACTGGTTCAATGCATCTCCAACACTTGCAACTTTGGATGGTGTATTTTCTTGCACAAAGTTTTATAAAAATAAAAAAAAATTTGTGTGATTGGACATTACAGTGTCCTCTCTGAAAAGAGAATAGAAGTCGGGTAAGAACACGATGGATTTTAATGTTTTACTGATTGTCTTATCAGTAGAATCTATATGGGTGTGCCTGACCTATTCATACTGTAGCTAAGTATAGTGATTGTTAAACAATTATTCATAGTGAAAGATACATCAAATACTTGATGTAAAAATCATTTAGGTCTGGTTTAACGTTAGTAGTATTTCATTGCTGCTAAGGGACTTGCAATGCCTTTCAGAATTTGTGAGAAAACCATAAAAAAATTTATTCAATAACTTATGAATGTGTTTTGAAATCCTTTTGTGATGGAAGGCTAAGATGGCTACCATCTTGTACTTGCAAAGATGTTGCGTCCAATGTTTGAGAGTTGAAAGGTATTGGTCGAGTCTTTTGGTGGAGATATAATGCCACATTAGACTAGACATGTTCTAGTTTTTCACGTGTAGTTGCCGACATATCATAAAAACTATCTTCCAAGAGTTGTACAGTAGATGCAAATCTGCAAATGTAATGCAGGGTTTTTGTGGACAAGAAACAGTCATCTTTTCTGACAAAGTTTTTCAAGAATGGCAAAAAATAATGGGAGATGAAAGAAAATTATTACGTTGTCTGGCATACGAAGTATTTAATTTAATAAGTTATGGAGTGCATTGAGTTGAACTGAAAATGCCAAATTTTGGTTGGTCAGTAGAAGTATATTATGAAGGTGTAAAAAACAGCATGTACATAAATGTAAAAACTCCTGACAAATATTCTTTTTATTGGAGTATATTTTTGAAAATGCACATTTGCAAATGTTTTTTTCATATTGGAGTGTATTTTTGATACATGCACATTCAAACATCAGAAACTGCAAACATTTACTTTGTACTTGCAAAGTCTTGAATAGTACAAATGAATTTTTTACAATGTACATTGTTATAATAACTTTCTATTTTTGATCTAAGGTGTTAATTTCTTAAAAAACAAGGATCTTTTCAGAAAGTTGAAAAAATAAAAAATGATAAACATGAACTATGTGTATACTTGTTTTTTTTTGTCTCATCAATTCATTTTCACTATTTTATTTTTTTTTTTTTGCATCTGCAATGCTTTGTGTGACACTTCAAGGTTGAATTACACTTAAAAGAGTNTTCTTCAACACATGCTCGTTGTTCCTTCCATCTTGCTTTTCATAGATCATGAGCTCAATTACAAATGAAATGTAGTATTGTACGAAAAAAGTGAGTCGTGGTCAAAACTGTAAAGTTGACCTCAGTTATTATTATTTTCATAATAATTATTCCTGTAAATGTAACATTCCCCTCGTCTCTGATAAAGTGTATAATGGCTCTTGCAGTTCTGTAGCTATGGTAACCCCAACCCTCAACCTCACTGTCACATTGTGAACTGGATTATTGTGGGTTATTCCTATCTGTTTCTCAACTTTTCCCCAATGTGCTATACCCGCAGAATCCCATCTTTGGTGTTATCTAAAAATATAATTTTCACATATTTTCAATAACTTTCTATGGCCCAAATCCAAACCAACTGATTACCCAGGCCTGACAAATTTATATTTTAGGATTCTGTGACCTTGACTTATGCTAAATCAAACTTACAAATTAATCAATTTTCAAAAACTGCTTTTGAAATTTCCCCACTGCGTTGGACTTCAAGGGCTGCTGTAAATTCCTGAAGTTGAAAAGTGCGCATCCCTAGCTTTTCAAAACTCAAATATCGCTCTCCCATGTCCTGTAGTATTTGCATGGTAGAATTAAAGGTAAAAGGATTTATTCTGGATGCTATAATTTTCAGTTCCTTTGCATACACCTCGTGAGGATCAAGCTTAACTTCCGATCCAGCAGGAGAGATTCCAAAAAGAAGAAACTTCCCGCCTTGACGCAACCATTGAACTCCTTGTTCCAAAGTCTTAGGATCCCCAGTGCAGTCAATGACAATATCAAACCCCCAATCTTCGTCACCGTCCTGCTTTGCATTCCTAGCTTCAGAAATTAAAATCTCAGGATGAACTATTTGAAAACCAAAGTCAAGTCTCTGTGCAATCTTTTGTCGTCCCTTCAAGAGCTCTGTAACAACAACTTCTCTGAAGCCTCTAAAATGTAGCATACACATAAACAATAACCCCATACTTCCAGCTCCACAAACTAGTATTTCTGCATCTGGAGTGATTGGTTGTAAAAGATTCCAGCCATGAACAACGCAAGACATTGGTTCTAGTAGCAAACCAAGTTCAAATGATAACTGATGAGGCAAGGAAACAGCATTCTTGGCTGGCAGACGGCAGTACTGTGCCCAACCCCCATTTCGCCTGATTCCAATGGTGGCTTTAACCCCTTCAAATTTGCAGAAATTTGGCCGCCCTTTGGCACAATTGTCACACATTCCACAGCTAGTGTTTGGGTTGACAACAACACTGTCATAAAAAAAAAAAAAATTCAGGGTTTATACTAATTGTAGATGGAGTCAATTGTACTGGGTGATTAAAAAAACTTAGTTATTCAAGGCAGATTTAATAAGTTGCTAGTAATTGTTTTCCCTAAGAGTGATGTCTCAACATTAATGCACTAAAGAGTTGGCTTGCAAAAGAATAGCCACAGGCAACGGTCTTAAAACCCTTTCTCAAAAGTCCTCTTTAAGTTCCCCAAAGACTTTTATCTTAGGCTGAGCCTCTGCTTTTGTAAATCCCCATCAGGGCTCTAAAGTTTTAGGTTGCCAAAGTTGTTATTTGGTAAACTAAAATCACATAAGAGGGTTGCGAGAAGAAAACTTTGGCTGGCAAGGAAATTGTAACAACACTTTAAGCAGTATTGCACGAGATAATATACTGTTGACCCCACCACGGATTCTGTAGCATGGTTCAAGTTTAGAAGTTTGAGGAGATGTAGTAACATTTTATGAAATGCCCAAATCACTTTAATTTCAGAATGTTTACACAAAATAATAAAATGTTACAACTTTCTTTGAAGATTGGTGACCAAATTGGTATCTTAAACTGCCAGTTTAGCTGGCAAAATTTTTTTGGCAACAGAAAATTTCTCACTTGTTTGTGCCTACGCACAAGCGGTTACCACCCTTTTGAAGGATGTTCGTCCGACAAATGTGTCTGTCTATAAAGAGACAGTTGACTGCATTCGATGTGAACCATAGTTAAGTTTGTTATTTCCTTGTGGTACTACCTCAGGATAGACATTTTTAAGTCAGTTCATTTACATGTAATGGAATAACTTCATTTTTTCAATAAAACCTGGCAGGATTTCAGTTGTACATGTACTACAGGACAGAAGTACAGAAGCGCGAGCATGAATTTCGAACAAACTGCAGGTCCACACCAGCCTTTGGGTTGCCACAAACCGACCTGCCTTAACAAAAATTATATGTATGTATATATATGTATGTATGTATGGGAATACAAGTGGTGACGGATCTGAATTGAATCAAATGCTCTTGGAAACTGAATTAGCCCTCGATGCAATATTGTCGAAAAAGCACAGTGGAACACTTATGATAATAAGAAATGTAAGCTTGTATTTAGTACATAATTGATCAGAGGTCTCCAATCCAAAGGAAATCAAAACCTTTTTTGAGATCAGGAAAAAAGCTGACCGTATTTTCCAATTTTGTACATTGTGAAGATAAACCTCGACAATCAAAAACAAACGTAAGGTAATTAAAGCGTCGTTTCTACGAATATTAATGCGTAATTTAAAGCTTAGTACAATGCATGCACAATAACAACTTTACCAAGCTAATAGTATAAAGCACAAGTAAAGGCAGTTATCAAAAACTACGAAGAAACGCTCACCGATCGCCGACGGATATATGCTTCACCTCACTCCCTGCTTCCTTTACAATCCCGACAAATTCGTGACCTAAAATAATGGACTTCTCACAAGGAAACTTTCCTTCTAGAATCTTAAGATCGGTCCCGCATACCGCCGAATAAGTTATTTTTATCACTACTTGGAGCGGGTTTTGAACATGAGGTACAGGCCTGGTAATCACAGATAAATGTCCATCCCATAACTGTACTGCATTATTCATAATTTTTCCGGTTAAGGAAGAAAAGAAAATCAATACTGAACTAACACAACGAAAGTATCATTCAAAGCCGATTCCCTTCAAAACGTGATTCCGTTCGGTTAGGGGTAAAAGACTGGGGCGAGCTCAACCAGGAGGGAGGGTATGAAGTTCAATAATTTATTAAGTAGGGTGGGGAGGGATCATTTTGTCCATAATTTGCCATAGAAGGTCCCTAGGAGGTGGTTTTATCTGTGAATAAAAGTGACAGGAATTGTCTTTCTTCAGAAGAGAATGAAAAATCTGTTTCTACCGTATAAGTATTTTCTGTTTATCAAGAAAAAATGACAAATTAGAGAAAACCCTGCATAGGTTACAAGTAAAATAGGGTTCTAACCACAAATTGTAGTAGCAAGTATTTGGAGAAATCTCTTCCACTCCCGGGTAAAAATACTCCACGCAATCAAAATTTAACCAGAGAATCCTGGAGAGTGCTCTAATGTCCACTGCAAACATCCTGTAAAAAAGAGGCTTCCCAAACCAATTAGATAAATTATATTGATAAAACAGTAAAAAGGGTGGTTTTGAGATCAGATCAAAAGTTTCAGAAATGCAAGTATTTTCAACTCTCTCAATAGTGTTTTTTTAAATGATTGAAGAAATAAATAAATAATATTCAGTTGGGTTAAGTCCCACACCCAAGACGTTTCTTTATTCAGACAATTTAAACTAAAAATGTACCCATCTTTGTTTATCCATTAGTATCTTGGGTGATATCCATTTGTTTTGATAGCTTGAACTCCTTTTACAACCATTATACATTCTGCGCAACTTGTTACACCATTAAAACAATGATAGTTTTTTTTTCCTACAATAGAAACTAAAAAAATATTCAATCTTTTCTTAAATGCTATTCACATTTCAAAAACAGCTTTGGAAATTTCTGCTTTTGACAAAGCATCTAGAGCTGACTGGTAACTTGCCAAATCAAAAACAGAGATTCCCAACCTATCATAATTTAAATATTTTTCTGCCATATCTTTTACAAGCTGGATGGCTTTGGGAAAAGTGAAGGGATTGATGTGTGACCCAATAATTTGTAATTCCTTGGCATACATTATGTGAGGATCAATTTTAATTGAAGAACCTTTTGGGCAACATCCAAAGACAAGAATCTTTCCTCCACAGCGCAACCACTTAATAGCTTCTTCAATGGCTGCTGGCACTCCACTGCAGTCAATTACAGCATCAAAACCCCATTCTTGACCACCTGACAAATTTGCTTTCTTTGCATTGTGTACCAAAACATCAGGATGTACAACTTGGTATCCAACATTCATTCCATTTGCAAGGCTTCTGCGCCGTTCTGAAATTTCACTTATGGTAACTTTTCGGTAACCATGAAAGTGAAGTAAAGAAGCCCACAATAGTCCAATGATTCCTGAACCACAGATAAGAATATCAGATGTTGTTGCCAATGGCATCAGAAGATCGAAGCCATGAGCTATACAAGAAAAGGGCTCAACCAAAGCAGCTTGACGAAGAGTTATCTGCGGTGGAATGGTATAGACAGTTTCCACAGGAACACGGCAGTACTGAGACCACCCCCCGTTACGCCAAATACCAACTGTTGAACGGATACCACCAGTTTTACAGAAATGGGGCTGAGCTTTCTGGCAAAATGAACATCGACCACAATTTGTGTTTGGATTGACGACCACACTGAAATAAAGATAGATTTTTCATTAAACATGTTGTTTATTTTTCCTAGAACTACTTTGCACACCACTGATATCTATTTTATCATTTACATGAAAACATCAGCATACATGCCAACTCTCCTGGATTATTCGGGAGTCTCCTGGATACAGAACAGGTCTCCTGTATGCTTCACCAAATCTCTTGCATAAAAGCAATGAACAGGCTTTCGAAGGATATGTTTCACTGTAGGCTAACATCATATCCCCAGATTTACTCAACTCAAAAAAATTTTGGTTTTACAAACTCCTCCTGCCATTTCTCAAAGCATTTTTTATGCAACCACATCTTGACAGAAATTGACCCTAGGTTGGTTTACCAACAGATCTCTCTGATCTTCCCAACCTTTCTAGGAAAATAAAGAGTGACTGTTTGCAAGGCACTTTTTACAACAACACAAGTATATTAGCCAAAGTTGACAAATGCAAGAACAGAACATTATCTTGTAAGATCACAACCACCATACTGTGGAAGTTGCCCTGAGGATCCTGCGAAAAATTATGTCTTCAACCTTGTGATAATCATAAGGGTGAGCCCTTCATGGTCTAAAATTGTATGATTCACATGACTCATGCGAGCTAACCCTTTAGTTTCCAGAAGTGATAAACATGTAACTTCTCTTTATAACATTCATATATCATCCAGCAAACAAGTATAATGAGAATACTCAAACTTGTCAGGTAGAAGTTGTTATCTGCATTTAAAAATCAAGTCAGAGTCCTTGACCTATCAAATGTTATATTGAAAAATAATTGCGAAAATTGTGAGTTATGTAAACTTAATTTTATCAATTTTATATTGTTTGTATAGAGTTTTTCTTTTTATTATTATTATAATTATTAGTTTAGTTTAGGTAGTAGGTGTCCCCAATTAGTTTTTACTTGTAAAAACTAGAACGATTGACACGTCAATAAAGTTATTCATTCATTCATTCATTGATCCAACACCAAATTCTTGTAACTAACATTTACAACAAATGTGTTGCTGCAAGAGGGGAGAATTCACAATAAGATCTTGGGAGCTTAAAGGGTTAAATGTACTGCCACATTTGTATAGACGAAAACCATATTGAATATCCTGTGTAGAAGTGTATTTAATGACGGTAATTGAACAGAAATTTCATAAAAGAAATTGAAATTTGTACATGCTGGTCAAAAGTAAAAAAAAATTCGACGAAATGATAAAAAAAAAAAGAATTAATTGGCAAGCAGATGTTTCACTGATTTGACAATTTGACACAGTAAATCATTAGAGTAGATATGTTTTAAACGATCTTGAAAAAAAATCGAGGAAACCCCTCGGGGCCAAACACACTATGTAAATTATTCATGGCAAGAAATTGATCTAGTCGCCTCAATAATTCAATTTTCAAACAACAGCAGTTCTTTCAAATCCATCTATCGCGATCTACGAGCAAGCTTGTGTTCAATAAAGTAGCGCGCTTCTAAGTCTTCTTATAATCATAAATAAGTTTACTTTGATAACATAAAATAAACATCATCGATGAAGTTGAAATGATCAAAGACACAATTTAAATATTTGGCATCAGATACTCAACAAGAATTGGAAATACTACCGGTCTCCGACAGAAATTCTCTTTACAGCGCTCCCAATTTCGCTCACAACTCCGGCGAATTCATGTCCCAAGATGACACATTTTGAGGATGGAAACTCCCCCGCGAGAATATGAAGATCAGTGCCACAAATTCCCGAGAAAGCGACCTTCACGAGGACCTCATTTGGCGCTGAAACATGGGGGATAGGAGTTGTTATGAGAGACAGTTGCCCATCCCAAAGCTGTACTGCAGTATTCATATCAGAAGAAAAAACTCTGATTAAGAAACGACAGAAAGCGAGAAGGCTTGGTAGCTATTGCTATTTATACTTTTCGTCACGCAAACGTATTCACTTTGCAAATAGAATTGGTAGCACACGTCACGCAATATTAGTATAAAGTTGTCGAGTGATCGACAATTATGTTAAAGGTTATTTCCACTTAAATTACATATAGTGTACACCATTCCCTACCCGAAAAATAGCATTGTAGGTAATGGAAGTGGGTGGGAAAAAATAAAATAAGATTCTGGGCGGAATGAACATAAAATTATTTGATTGAAATTTTAACTGATAAGGGAGGCATCAATTAACAACATCGAGAAGAAAAGAAAAAAACTTATCGAGCTGAAAATGTTCCTTCCCATGCTATCCTCTTAGTTTTGGCGTCGAGATTAAACACTTCTTAGTGTCTTGTTTGCCTTCTTTCTTAGCGCAGAATGGCAACATAAATTCGACACTGTCCAGGTCCGTGGGAGTGAGAGGTCAGTATCAAAGTTATGCCACACCTTGAGGGGCCTCGACAGAGAAACATACTCCGAAAACCACATGATTTTCATACCCGCTTTTTATAACAAGATTCCACAGAGTAATGTTAACGTTCGAAAATTGGTTCAAAATGTACAAAAAAGTCGACTAGAGCCGGTGGCTGCCATGTTGAAAATAATTCAATGACTTTGCTAAAACTTGCAGGACTTCGGAGAATTGGTTCTCAAACAGCTGCGGTTCTAGAAATCATATGATTGTTCAAACATATCGCACTTAGGAATGAGACGTGAGCTGGACTGGTTACTACGCAGTTTCGAAATACAGCGGCGTCCATAGCTGAATTTTTACTTTTGACAATTTTTGAAGTCTTTGATGTCGTAGCATGATTTTTAACAATTAAGGAAACAATGATACGTTTCTATGATTTTTAACAATTAAGGAAACAGTAATACGTTTCCTGTAGTGTTTAGCCTCAATCAATCCACAGAAGTCAAGTTCCTTATCACAGGAGACTCCTTAACTTAAGCGTAAAGGTTATGAAATTATTGCGAGACAAGAAAGGCAGATGCGGGTGAGGTAATCAAGGAAGCGGGAAGAACTGTAACATCAAAATTAAAGCTATGATGAAATAAATTGTCTTGAGCATGAACCAGAACCCCAAACAGCAGGCACCAGCTTTTTGAAGCCCTGCGATTGGATTTTGTTTCAGGCTCGCTGAAAACCCCATCTATTTTGAATTTTGACCTCAGCAGTCACGGGCCCTGCCAATCTCCATCACAGCTGCTATTCGGGATGTCATACGAAAAGAGATGGGGGGGGGGGGGGGGAGGGGAAGGGACGTGAAGTCGTTGAGGCCTCAGAGAACGGCTGCAGAGTCATGTCAGGTGATGAGCTCCTGGTAAATTAAAGCCCGCGTGAGGTCTTTAGTGAGCTGGTGACTAAAAAGTTAAAACTCATTCGTCCAACTTAATAGTGTATAATCTCTTGCTTTTTCTAGATATCATTATTATTATTATTATTATTATTATTATTATTATTATCATTGTTATTATTTTTTTTGTACATGTAATAACCTTTTTTATTTGACCATTTTCATTCCAACTACAGTCGCGATTTAGTGCGATCTCAACCTTATGAGGGGCTGAATGAATTGAAGACCACTCAACTCGACCGAGACCTTCGCTTCGAAGCATGACCACCTGAAGATACAGTTTCTGGCCCGCTTGTCATTCCATCGAGACTTAAAAAGAACGAGAGGAGTTTTTCGAATTTTCTCTGTTAAATACTCATCTTTGAACATCCCAGCCTTATTATTTATTCCGCAGTTTCGTCCTCCCATTGTCCTATAAGTTTTTCGATATCCTGGGTAATTTCTTTAGGTTCAACTGTGGGTGTATATCGTCGATATGGCTGCCCATTGTGGTCAATAAGAATCTTCTCAAAATTCCATGTTATATCGTCGTTTCTAACTGGTGACCAACTTATCTTGTCAGCATCGTCGATAAAATTATCTGGTGCCGGGCATCGGCTCTGAAAAAAAAAAAAAAAAAAAAAAAATATTTGGACATCATCCTATCAATAAAGTTATCAAACTTCGCAATTCATATAATCACTTCATCATAGACCACTTTCATATAAATCGCTGCCGGATTAATATTCTTTTGTTTAAATTTAAATTAGCCCTTCTGGCCTCACTTGAGATAATGTATTCTTTTGAATTTTGTACTGGAGAACGAGGCCAGAAGGGCTAATTTAAATTTAAACAAAAGAATATTAATCCGGCAGCCATTTATGAAAGTGGTCTGTATCCCTATTTTTTTCTTCCTATTGCTCTGAGGTTTCATTCTAGTGAAAAAATGCAGAAAATGTTTCAAGGTCTTCACTCCATCACCTTTCAGTATGATTTCTACTTTATAAATTTATTAACAAATGGTAAACACCACAGCGTACACTATTGAGTTATGGATGCACGTGGGAGGTTGCTAAGCACGAAAGGAGCGTAAGTGTCGCGCGAGGCGATAGCCGAGAGCGACTCTAGCTTCTTGAGTGCTTAGCAAACCTCCCAAGTGCATCCATAACTCAATAGTGTACGCTGTGGCGTTTACCATTTGTTTTATAACGTAACATTGATACATTGTAGCGAGAGTTTCCTTTTATTTGACAAATCTTACGTGACCAGAAAAAACAAGCGCGCGCGGAAAAATAGTCTTTGCATTTGCTCACGTCAGCAGCGTACACCCATGGGCAAATGGCGCACGCTGAATTGACCAATCAGAGCGCACGCCTTTCTTTGGTTATGTTATAAAAGAAATTGGAGTAGTCCTTCAAGATCTATCAGTCTTGTCAATTATAATTACACGTACGATTGCTGATCGAATCGGACTCCACTCTGTCCGCTTGGCATTATCGCTTAGATGTGATTGAGGAAATTGGTCTTTTATTCTTGGGATTTTAATGCATTTTATATTCTCATCCACGAGGATATCCTAAGATATGAGAGAAACTAGTTTTCTAACAAACGACATGTGAATGAGCTTTTGGAGAGAACTGATAAAGCTATGTGATAAATATCTTTTACTTTTTAACTATTGTCATGATTCTCTTGGACCCATACTGAAGTATCTTCCGGGAGGCACGTGAAGTTTGAGTATGTTTTCCAAGGGAAGATGACCAAAGTATTGTGTTAATATGTTTTAAAGAGAAGACAACAAACAAATGAAAAGAACAAAACAAAACGATAAACCTGGTTCTTGATTATGCCTGCTGCCTTCAAATCAAAGCTACTCCAAATTCAGTTTTCAAGACAGTTCGCTTGGTTTTGTCTTATCAATCGCTCAAGTTTCGACTTACAAGATGTCATCATAACTAAGAATGATCGTATTTAAAGCCCCTTTATGGATGTAATCTCAAATATAGTCTCAGGTTTTTTATATTTGGAGAAAAAAGATCAGTATTTCTATAAAAGAAGTAAACTTCGACCGAAATGGCTTTCTCGCACACTGTTTTTCAACTTGTATTTCGAAAACAATTGCGATATTTTAAAAATATGCATTCAATTAAGATAAACAAAGGTTCGCCGCTAGTTGTCAATCAGAGTTTAAAACTGTTTTAAGATTTTAGGCAGTATTTGAAAAGCTGAACAGCACAAAAATGAAATTATTTCGGGATCACTTTGAAAGATATATGGAAATGTGAGCATACATTAAAAAAGGCACCCACATTTGTAATTGTTATCCTGCTTTGGAAAATGGAAAATAACAGGTACATTTACTTTGTAGACCGGCAGTTAATGAGCACACTTTAATTGAACCCGTTTTACAACGAAAGGAAAAAAGATACTGGAATTCTCTTACTGCAGTAATCTTTGTGAAGAACTTTTACAAGCTTTCAATTTGATTCAACTGAACTGATCAGAGTATTCCTGGCAATTCCTCTCATTTCAAGTGGATCAATAATTAAGAACTGCTCGATATGGTTCGTCGGATCTTACTAAAAATAATCCTCTATTTTCTGGCTCCGACTTACCTTGAGAAACGTGAATATTTTGCTTTCCTTCTTGCCATTCACTTCAATTTTTTGCATCATTTTTAGATTACGATCTAATTCGAAACCATGGCCTGGACGAACATATTTCAGACCATTTAAAATTTCGTACGCGTTCTCTCCCGGTTCCTGAAGACCAAATTGATTGCAAGGGAAAGCAAGAACCCTGAATCCACATTTACTGTTTTCTCCTGATCTATACGTTTGTAGTAATTCATTCAATTGTTTGTATTGCATCGTTAAACCTCAGAAGGTTGCGACGTTCATAACCAGAACGACGTGATTTTTGTAGACTGTGTCAGGAACTTTCAAGCCATGAATATCGTTGATAGAGAGATCATAAAATGAACCTTCTCCTTCCTTACATTTGCTCAACGATTTTTTTCTCTCTGTAGACAAACCTCCATGTAAGCACACCACAAGGAGGAAGAAGACCTTAGCGGCGTCCATATTTAGGCGCGAGGTGCTTTTGAGGCAGTAGTGCCTTCGGTTTCCGATGACAGTTGACTCAGGTGGTTAAAGACAGCTGTTGCGTTAGCCAATCGCAGAACACGACACCTGCCTGTAATTACTTGTGGATTGTTCATCGGATCTCGGGCATTGTTCATTTGATTCATTAATAAGCAACGGCGAATTGGATCTTGAATTGATTGCGCTCATTTCTCAAGATACAATCAGTCCAACGAAGGCGTTGAAAATTAGCTAATCGAGTGACACTTCATCACCCTACTTTCCAAGAATAAAACATGTCTGCTATAATCAAAATAATCGATATAATTATGATAACAATGTAAATTAACATTTGACAGGATTTTACCATTTGCAAGTGAGTGCTCAGTGTTTTCTTGAGAAAACCACAGCAACCACCCTTGATCTTTAATTCGGTAGGTTCATGAGTAAAAAAGTTTGAACAAAAAGGGGTTACATATGGTGCACGATCCTCGCAGTAGATAGCGCTATTTAGGCAATAGCGAAAATCAGACCTGAAAAAATTCAGGCCTGAATTTTTTCAGGTCTGATTTTCGCTATTGCTTAAATAGCGCTATCTACTGCGAGGATCGTGCACCATATGTATCTAATACCGCAGTTCAAAATATATGAACTTCATATATTTCATTGAACCAAAAAGGGGTTAACGACCGTCCAAAAACAGTAGGGGGGAGGGGTGGGGGGAGAGGCGCCATCGTCCACTCTAACTCTACAGGAAAACACATTTCTTAACTCGTGAATTCTGCATTAAATTACACGAGAAAACCGATATCACACGAATTTAACGCGGAATTCACGAGTCGAGTGGCAGATTTTCATTGAATCGCATGCTTAAATAAAAGTAAGGGAAAAAAAAGGAAAAGAAAATAGCATTACTTATAGTTGTTATGTATAAGTAGATGCGAAACAATATCACTTGGCCTCGTTTTCAACACGCAATTCTACGTTAAATACCTCGCTTCGTTATCCAATCAGAAGGCGAGATTTTACTAAGTGATGCGATTCTAAATAAAACACGGCCGATCGAATAAACGAGGACAAGCCCGGGAAACAATTGCTACTTGTCATCTCCCCCTTGTTTACAAACGGACACTACAAACGCACACATATGTATATGCACGCGCACACACACACACACACACGCACACTTTCACACACACACACGCACACTTAAACACAAAAAAGATATAGATCTATCGAATTAATGCCATGACAATTCCATATTTGGAAACTGCACCATTTGAGCTAGAATACTTTGCAGTGTATGGAAGAGTTCTACCGCAATGACACGTTCAAGACAAGATGTCAGTCCAGTTGAAATGCAGGTAAACTACAGCAACAAAAATACAAAAATATTTCTTAAAAATCACAAGTAATTGACGTTTCTAAAAAAAAATTCCTTTCCTACCAAACGATCACAAAAAAATGCTAAAAACTAGAATGCTTTACTTGCGATCAAACATCAATATTTTTCCACAAAGAGTATCACTACGTAAATCGCTGAAATTTATCCGGGAGTATCACATTTCTACTCTAACTCATGTCAAGTTTCATTCTGATTTACTGGTTCTCTTGGTTTCTATCATGGCTAGGTCTCCTTCGCAACTGTCTCAGGATGTCACGTAACGCGCGGGGCGTTGTGGGGCATTTCTAAAACCAGCTACAAAGGAGACTTGTCACACAGCCATGACTACTCTTGTTTCTTCATCTTTCTGCATCTGTCCTGCTTTGTGCGCTCCTGAACTTTCTTCAACAAGCGTTTGCTGGCGTGACGCACGTAGCTTGATTCGTCCAGCAGATAGTCTCCATCATCTGTCACGGTCCCTGCTATGACAACTGTTTTACTCAATCCAAGTTCTTTGCAAAAGCAACTGATGGGAGGGAATACATAAATAAGAAAAACAAATAAACAAAACAAAAACAAAAACAAAACAAAAACAATAAAAAAGAACATCAAAATGAAACGAAACAAAGAGCAACACAATGAAACAAGCTCTCTTTAGGAAGTCACTACACTATCGTTGGGTGACAATACCAGTAATTTGTTTGCAGCCTTTTATGGGGATGTCATGTGAGAGCATTTGAGGTGGTTAACGAAATCTCTATTCAAATAAATTGACCAAAGGAACACTACAAAGGGATATGAAAAAGTTAATCAGAGTGTTGAACTTATCAATCAGAACAGACCCCCCGCCTCCTCTCAAGTGTGAAATAGGCACTTCTGGGCTCCATTTCAATCCCCATAATCACTGAAGATCGTTAGTAGCGTGTTAATTTTCCAACATGATTTTGCGGCATTGATTTTCTTCCCAGAATTACCTGTTTAAGTCCTCAGCGAAAGAGATCCTGATAAGTTTATTCTGTGACGAATCAGAGCCCTTATAAACCCCAGTCACTCGTACCATCAAGGAAGACACATCAGAATCTGGTTCGTTTTCGATCTTCTCAAACGTGCCCTTGATCACTGCAAAAAAAAAATGTTAGGTTGCATTTTATAGATCCAAACGTTGAGTCATCATAAGCAACATAGGTTGTAATTCTTATTTCCGCTAAAATATCTACAGCCGAATTAAATTACTCTAATAAAACACCCTTCCCTGCAGTGCCGGGAAAAAAAAACCTTTAAATATTGGACTAGCCTTTTTTCTTTTAGACAAACCATTTGTGTTGACTTACCAAAGTCGTTTTCACAAAAGTGGGCAAAGAGGCTTGAACGCGCAGGGCAAGTTTGGCATTTCCTCCTTCTTGATGCTATGGAATAGAGTACGAGGGTTAAGAAGGGTTAAGTTTATTGTGAAATAAAACAAACACGCAAGTTTTTGTAGACCACGTGGGAGTTGGCAGGGCCTTCCTTATCTCATTTTGCATGTAATTGAGGTTGTCGGTCGTAGGGAAGTTGAGAGCCAGGAGGTAATTACACAGAAAATATAATAGTCAGTCATACAGGCAGGCAAGCCGGCTGTCAGTCACAACAACAGTCAATGAGTTTCTCGAGTATTCATTCAGTCCGGACATCAGTCAGTCAATCAATCAAGCAATCAATTAGTCAGTCAATCAATCAATTAGTCAGTCAATCAATCAAGCAATCAATTAGTCAGTCAATCAGTCGCTCAGTCAGTCAATCAATCAATTAGTCAGTCAATCAATCAAGCAATCAATTAGTCAGTCAATCAGTCGCTCAGTCAGTCGGACTATCAATCACCCTGTCAGTCTGACAGTCCGTCAATCAATCAATCGCTAAGTCAGTCAGACAATCAATCAGTCAGACAGTCAGTCTGACAGACTATCAATTAGTCAGACAGTCAATCAATCAGTCAGACAATCAGTCAATCAGACAGCCCATCAATTAGTCAGTCAATAAATCTATTCGTCGATCAGTCAATCAGTTAGTTGGGCAGACAAGCCCCTATAATCAGTGACAAATTTATCGCCAAATTACCATTTCCAAATACTTCCTACATGGATGTCACAAGTCAACTGATTTTTGTATTTTTTTTTTTTCCACTCCGTCAAATGATCGAACAGCTTTGAATATGTCTCTCTGGCTGTCAACTAATACGTATATCCCTGGCTGTCAACTAATACATATATCCCTATTGTAAGAGTCTCTGATAACTTACAACACTTCGCAGGGCCACCAACAACTGTGATCACTGTGTGGTTGACGCAAGCCTGTGACTTCAACACACATTCATTGGAGTAGTTCTTCCCATCTGATCCGCAAACAGGATCATAAATGAAAGGACAAGCAGTGTTACATTCACACACTGCATCACCATTGTCATTCACTCGACAAACTCCATGGAAATCGCAATTTATCAACTGGCACGGATCGTCGGATTTTGGTTTCTCGGCTGTCGAGGACCAATAGAAAAAAAAAAAAGCAAACAAACAAACAAATAAATCATTCGCTCCGACGAAGGGCTAACGCTCGAAACGTCAGCTATTGTAATCGTTACGGTGGCCAAATTTACCATTTTAACTTTAATATATCCAAATTAGTTCGTTACCCCCACCGACGCAGCCCCAAACAGTTTCTTTAGAAACGATCAGCCTTTTAACAAATAAACCGATCGACTAATCAATCAGTCAGTCAATAATTCAACCGAAAACGTTCCCTTCAATCTACAGAACACTAACTCAATGATTCAGTTCGACAATCAGTCAATCAGTCAAGTTCAAGTTCATTTAGTTCAAGTTCATTTATTTGTTTAAGCAGGTTGATTAATTGGCAGCTGTAATAGCTGATGTGGACCTGCTGTCCTAACCCACCCATCCCACCCCAGGGGAGGACATCCATCACACAGTAACCTCGTGTGTGGGAAATTAACGTCTCCTGCCCCAACCCTGCAGGAGACGGGACCTCCATTTATTCGTCCCTATCCGAGAAGACTAGAATATCTAACCATTTCTTGATGTTATAGAAAGGTAGCAAATTCTTCTCAATTATTTTAAGACCTTGAGTGTTGGTCCGGCCGGGGCTCGAACCCTCGACCTCCCGCACTACAGTCCAGCGCTCTATCCATTGAGCTAACCGGGAGGCGGTTGCACATTGGCTTGTTTTGTTTGTAAGATAACCGCTAACATTTTGAACATCAGGTAACCTGAGGAACAGAAACGACGAAAGTTGAACTAAATTTGCTTTCTATCGAGTGTAGAAACGATTTTTTGCTCCAAAATGGCCTGGTGTCTTTTCAACGCGCGAATTGTTGATTTTTCACCTCCAATTGCGTGACAAGGAATGGCGTATTTTGACACCTTTGTCTCA